ATCGCTGAATGTCAACTAACGAACACTACTACAGGCACGTATCCATTACTAAACAAATCACGAGCGCCGTTCGACCGTGCCTCTGTAAGCTCCGCCGCTGGGCGCTGGATAATTAAAGCTGCGAGGCACATTTGATCGAGTTTCGGTCGCTCTCCGTCCGACAGGCCGATTGTTCCCCCATTTTAATTTTTTTCGGAAAATTGAAAAAGGAATTCTCCCCCGCTTTCTCGATGTTTTTATTTTTTTTTTGCGCGCGCGCGCGCCCGCGCGCACGGCGATATGGATGCGCGCCGCGCCGCTGTGTTGCCTGTGCACGCGCTACAGCCGGGCGAAAATTGGAAATTGATTTCGAACGGAATTCCGAGCGAATGTCGAGCACGTATCGAACGATACCGAAATTTCGCGCCTATGAAATAGTTTCTCGGCTGTACCTTCGCCGGGGAGATTCATCAGAATGTCATTCGCCGGATGTGGGTCACGGTGGACGAGTTGTATTTAGATGCGGAAGAAAAATACAAAAAAAAAACGAAAAAAAACATTATTGCGACTCGTTATTCCACCGACATCTGAATCGAGCAAGATTTATTTTACAAATGGGCGCTTAACATTCGTTATATTCCCGGAAGAATTTATGTGGACAACGTGTTGACCAAAGTGTCCGCTTTTCGACAGAGACATCAGATTTCGAAACGTAAGTGCTTATCATTAAAAAAAAGGTAAAAAAGACGCCAAGTATAAGCGCCATCCAATCCAGAATTACATAATTTAAATATTTGGATATATTTTGTTCAAAACAAATTAATTTCTATTGTCTCTACAAAGTAATGAGATCATCAAATTGCGCCAACTACAATGAATATCTATACAAACTAGATACTTTATTATTTTTATATTATTTCAAGACGTAAGTGCTTATTTAAAAAAAAAGGTAAAAAGACGCCAAGTATAAGCGCCATCCAATCAAGAATTATAATTTAATTATTTGGATTTATTTTGTTAGAAAAAATAAATTTCCATTGTCTCTACAAAAGTAATGATATCATCAAATTGCGCCAACTAAAATGGATATCTATACAAAGTAGATACTTAATTATTTTTTATATTATTTTGAAACGTGCTTATTTTGCGGAAGTAAGCTTCGCAAATGTCGCCCAAACGACGACGACAGCTCCGAAAAAATACGACCGGCAAATTGGAGAACAATGTCGGGTCAATAAAATCATTAGAGTGCGCGACGTATCTGGATACCAGTCGAGAGCATCTTACCGAGTGAACTGTGCAACCGAAGCGAGAGAATGCGTCTAAAAGACGATCTCCAGCGACGAGGAAGGTCGCTCGCGATTCCAGTATTTCCAGTATTTCGGGTGTCCCGTGGCGAGGCGGCCCGCTCGAATCGAACTACTTCATTAGCGAAGAGCTGTAATGACGATAACGCGCCTCGACCGCGAAGGAAGAGAGACGATCGCCGACAATTAATAAAGAGCGCCGGCGTCCGTGAGCCACCTTGCGCCCGAGGCTAGTTGAAAGAACGAAAATATAATATAAACTGTACTTCGAAACGATGTGGCAGCAGCGTACAAAACTATGCGCATGCATTGTCGCCGATGTAAAAATCTCGTAGCGCGCTCGCTTTTACACGAACGAAAACCTCATTAAGTAAAACAGCGTTCAATATGTATAGAATACAGAACAAATAAATGGTGACAATTGTTTTCGGTCGGTTTCATCGGGTGGAATCCTTGTAATTACAATTTTCGTGAATCCGATTTCGTCTTAGAAGCCGCGCGCCGATGCGAAAGCTAATTATTTTCCATAACATTTCTTTGACGCTTCATTTGGAACGGTGACTGACGAAACGCAGGGCGTATCACAAGGCCACCATATATTAAAGCTTCTATTTAAAAAACAGTTCCGCCCCTGCGGCTTTCATCCTGTCAAATATTCCCACGCCTAATGCTTACTAGCGCCTGAAGAAGCGCACGCGGTGTCGCTTTAAAACGGGAGTAACGAGGTCCTTTCAACCGCTGTCGCCAGGATGCCTCCAACCGTTCTGGTAACGCACCGCCAGTTTCCTGTTTGCGGTCCTCGACAGCCTTTCACCGATATTTACTCGCGAGCCTAGGTCCTCCCTTGGGATTGCTCTCGAAGACATCTCGGAAGGACCAGGACACTCGGCGGCAGTGTGTTCCGTTTTGTTTGCCGCGCCAGGATTTCCCGACAAAAGGCCCGGTGCATCGTCATCCCTTCCACCTTTCCCTTAACACTAGGATTAGAGTCAAAAGGATTCCAAGTTGTTCGCGTTAATTTTTCGCTTCTGCCTTTTCCCCCAAGATTCCTTCAACCACTTTCCATGTGAAGAGGGTCGAATCTCCACAAAGAGATTCTGATGAAACCGAAGTCAAGCACTTATGATGATTCTTTAAACTTCTTGTTGGTACACTTTCTATTGTCTTAGTAAATTTGTATACATAGGAAACAAAAGTAGCAGCGAATGCTGAACCCCGGGACGCAACATACGTTTTAATGTTACTGTTTTAATAACTTCAACATTTTCTTGACCATATCTGGCGTTTTTAATAATACAGAGAATTTATTGCGAAGAATATTATCTCAGCCAGGGTTTGAACCTGGACTTCCCTACACTCCAGACGGGCGTCTCGCCGATTCGACCTCGGTGGTTCAAACCCTGACTGAGATAATATTCTTCGCAATAAATTTTCTGTATTATTAAAAATGCCAGATATGGCCAAGAAAGTACTAAAGTTGTTAATTACTGCTGGCGACTCGAAGAATATTCTTATTGGTTAATGGTTTAATGTTAAAATTGTATTTCAAACTCTTTAACGCGTTATCACAAGATAATAACTGAACGTAAATGTTTTGTAATATTAGATTTAAAAAAGATGCATTATTTGATACAAAATACATTAAGAAATTTAGGAAGCAATAATTTTTGTCTCAGACATCCGACTTACAACCATGTTTTTTCTTCAATGTGCCATATATCAAGTTTTTTTCCTCATGTTGGCGATCGTCAGAGAGAAATTATGAAATTATGGCTATATGAGTTGCCCGTCAAAGACCTTTTTATCGTACACGGACAGGGTACCATTTCAAAGAGGACATTTGACGTAAAGTACAAATTATTAGGTTTCTTTTCGTGTTCCGGGAAACAAAAACCAGATCAGAGAATTTCTTTTGTAAACCGTTTCTCTTCTGTAGCGATTCTTCGAAAATTCGAAGCGTAGAATAACATCCCGGGAATCTATTGACTATGGTGTCGATTGCTTTCACGCGGTGCGTGACTCGTCGCTTATTTTCACAAATTTCACATTTAAAGGAAAAACAGCCGCATCGGCTTCTCCTAGCAAGTTTGTTTCCATCCGCATTCGCATTCATACGGCTCGCTCTTACAGGCACGCTTTTGAGATAGCGTGAAAAAACACATAATCCTTCAAAAGACTCCCAAACCAAATCTTTCGTAAACCTGGAAAGGGTTGGGCCAGGTGAAAAGGGCTGACATCTATTAGCCGTGGCAAGAAAAGGGTTTGGGAGATATTTTTGAGAGGCATTTTCTGGGCTCGTGCACAAACTGGATCCTGCCTCTCTACCGAGGTACAGAGAAAAAAAACGAGAGGAAGTGTGAGAAAGAGAGAGAGAGAGAGAGAGAGAGAAAGAGAGCCCTTAAGGGCGGAAGACGCACGCCCGCTGCCCCGTCACACGATGTAGGTGAACCATGCATAATGTCGTGGCCACATTACCTTTCGGCGACAATCTGCCCGCCGCTGCCCGTCTCTCTCTCTCGCTTTTCCTATCTAGCTCCTCTTTTCTCCTTCATCCATCCCCTATATTCATCTCTCTCTCTCTCATAAGTATTCATTCACTTTCCTCTACCTCGCCTGGTGCGTAGACGCGTTTATGAGAGTATTTACGTGAAAGAGAAAGAGAGACGTTGAGAGAAAAAGGAGATTAGAAAGAAGCAAAAGAGAGGGAGAAGAAGGAGGCAGAAGAGTGGTCTTAACAAAGGTCGATCTGCCACGCACTGCACGACAGCCAGCCATTGACATCGGGTGGGCTCTGGGTAAGGAGGACTAGATTTCACGAGCCAGCGATGCAAGATCCTTCAAAGGGCGCCGACGGCCTGCCGCAAAAAGGATTCGCAAAAAAGGACGAGGTAGGGAAAAAGAGACAGAACCACCATGGCCGCAGAAAGGGGACAGGCTTCTTCTTCTTTAGTTAATGCTGGCTTCCGCGCACCCCATGTTGAAGAGAAAGAAAAGACGAGAGTGAAAGGGCGGGGGGGAGGCAGACCGAGGAGACAGGCGGCCGAGGCTAATAGAGAGGAAGACGAATAAGAGGAGCGCGAAGCGGGCGAGAAGCGCGGGGCAAGGAGCGAAACTACTTGACGGCGAAATCCATCGCGATAACTTAATCCCAGGATTACGCTGCGGTTAGGTATCCGCGCGGAAATCCGATCGCGCGCGCCTGACGGGGTCCGTCAGGGCCGTTGTGAAGGAACGCGACTGCTCCGTTTCCGGTTTCTCGATTGATTTCACGAGTCTCGGCCTCTTCGCTGGTGTATATGCGATTAACGCCCGAGGATTATTCGTACGCAACCGGTGTACCTCGAGATCAGATTGTCAATTAGATACAATTAGCGTCAACTTTTCGCGTCGATATTATCCTCGCGTCAACACCTCGTGCAAAAGCACGTCGTATCCCGATAAATACTCGTTTCCAGATTTTAGGGGAGCACTATCGGCGGAGCTAAATAGATCCGTCGATCCAGTTCTCATGTTCCACCCCGATCGTCATCGTCGCGAAGAACTTATCGCGGCAAAAGTGCCGCGTGCATGCACGTCGATCACGGCCGTTTCGCGATGTTGAATCGGCCTGTCACGCTCGTTTCAGGCTGGTTCAAGTTAGCGATTAATTGCAAACTAAAGGAGCAAGCTTAGAGTAACTAGTAAGTAAGTAATTGGTTGGTTGGCGTTACGTACAGTACTTACAAAGCCGTGCTTGTCGCTGATGTTGTTGGTGAGCTTGAGTTTGTGGAAGCTCACGACCTTCTGCATCCACTGTTCGCCGCTGCTGGGCGAGTCCGGATGTATGTACATCCTCTTGGGCATTTCCGGGTCCGCCTTACCCGCTACCATCCACCTACTGCTCGCAACACGCATAAGAGTGTATTAGAAAGTTACCGGGTGCTGAGCGCCATTGTAACATGCCTCGACAACGATGAAGATATCGAGAAACGAGCTCTTCGTCGTTATCTAAGACAAATCGCTCGGATCGAAATGCAGACCATAAGAAAATGTCCGATAGAATAGGCTGCAATTTATTTCAACGTCCATTTCTATCTGATTTAGTTGACGTGCCTCAAATAGAACGATCTCTATAGGGAATATTGAATTTACATCCCCCATAACGAATTATCTAAACTGTATTGTAATTCGTCGGTTCGTTTCCCTTCGATGCATCTAGCCAGGCTCGGCTGTAATTTGGAACCGTGCTAATCGCGCTTCCGATAATCGAGCGGATTCCAACAATTTCCTCGCGGGGCAACCTGCCTACGTATCTCCCAACGCAGACGACAAAACCAATGGTCTAGAACGAGCCCCCCCAAAAAAAGAAAGAAAGATTCTAGATGACCGGTGTGTTCCTCGTTGGCTCCAACAGCTTCGACCCGCCGCGAGCATCAACCAGACGCGATTGTTGTCTTTTAAGGGAGGCGTGTCCACCGTTCGTGCTCTTGCCCGTCGTCGCAGGTGGGTCAAACTCGAGCGCGAAGGACCGAAGGAAGAACTCGTTCGACGAGTTCCAAAGTGGCTGCGGTCGCCGACGTGATGTAATCGTTCATTGTGGTCTGCGTTTCGATCGCCCGAACGTCGGTATCCGAGATGCCTCGCGAGACTTTTCTCGAGGTGGAGAGCGCTAATCGAGTCCCTCTGTCGGGATCCGGGATATCCGTTGCGAAAAAGTCCCCCCCGTGCTATGCCGCGCGGCCGCCGAGGAGTGCGCGAAAGTGCGCGAAAGAAATACACGGTTGTTCACTTTTGCAGCTAAGCAAATATTTGCGCCGGGCCACATTCGAGAGAAACTTTAAACGGAGCCGGGCAAACACGCGAAAGTCATTCTTGAATCACGAGCCGCGATATGCCGAAATATTAATGATTATCAACACGCGACTACTCGACGGAGTTTTTAAGAGGATTATAATATTTGGAATACACGCGCGAAATTTGGTCAAGTACAGAGAGGTACGAAATTCACGAAGCATCTCGGTTAACTAATGTGAAGGCTTGCGATCCCCATACAAGTCGAAATAATTTCCCGTGGGACCGTCCCTTATATGGCACTTCTGCGAGAGAATCAAACATTCATTATTTTTTTTATATAAGTATATATAAATATCACAGGAGTATACAAATATAGATATTTACTAATTAAACATTTGCAAGTGAATTTTCCAAGTACCGTCCATCGATTTCTCGCATGAAAAATGAAAAAAAAAGTGAGCGTAGATTTGTTACGCATGGCGGGATGGATTAATCGTATTTAAGAACGCGATGAGGTTGCACAGGATTACAAATAAATTATCTTCGACGAGTATGAGGAATTGTTCGCAGCGCACGCTCCACACTTATTTCAGGAGAGTCTCCTGGTACAAATAGCGTAACTCGCGATCGGGACCGATCCAGGATCATCGTTTCAAAGTACAATTCCGAAGATTTATTTGGAACACTTTGCACAAAAAGAAATTTAGTTCAAGTGTACCACCCCAGAAAGTTCCCCCCAAGTACTGTGACAGGCTTTTGACTCGTAAGTGAAACGGAACGATCCAGGATCGCTACGATCGCGCAGGGTCAGAGGTATCACCTGTTGTGAAATTTATATCGGCATTCGTCCGATGCCACGATGTCCATTAGAAGTATGTAGCTAGCCTGCTTGTCTAACCCGAACACCCTCACTTTATACGCGGGAAACATGCGTCTGCGAACAATTTTGCAATCGCAAAAAAGACACACACCATACATTAGTTCTGCCGTTCACTGCTGGGGCTCTCGTCGTTACCGCGCTCCCCGTGAAAACGGAGAGCGCGCTTAAAATTATTGTCCTCGACTGACGGCGCTATTGTTCGGACAACCGATTGCAACGATCTCGACGAATGAGAAAGCATCGGTGCGATTTCACAAATCCGTTCGTGTTCAACGGACACTCGAACACTGAACATTAAGGGGGACAAAGATGTCGATTTCGCGTATCAAGATCGGTGTCGCGCGTGCTGAAAGATCGCGTACGATGCCGTTGAGAAAGGGTTCGAGATCGTTAACACGAGTTGTCCGCGACAATTATGTGTTTACGAGCGCCCTCGCTTCTCCCCTACGCCACGCAAAACCTCTACCTGTTGTGGAACTTGTATCTGTAGTCATCGGCGGCGACAATGTCCAGTAGGAGGATGTACTTGGCCTTGGCGTCCAGACCGGAAACTCGGAACTTCATCTGAGGAAACATCTGCCTAGACCCCCGATCAACACGTACAGTTCGATTAGATCGCTTGCTCGATTAAACTCGCGCTAACTTAGTCTATCATGCAACTCGCGGTCGTCGCGCTTTATCTTACAGCGAATTCGGTTGCTTGCACTGGTGCGCACTGAGTGCACACTAAGGCTCGTTCACGGTCAATTTTTGTACTAAAGAATCGTCTCAAATATTTCTGGAAATATTTCGCAGCCAGTAAAATGACCTGTATAGCATCCATGCGGAACATTTTTTTACTAAATACCCTTTGAACGTGTGTTCAAGACAAAGTTAAATATAAAAATTGATCGCAAACTGACCTTAGTGCGCACTCGGTGCGCACTAGTGCAAGCAATCGAATTAGACAACAATTGACAAAAATACATCAATCCTGCGCACGTGTTGCTAGCAACGATAGTCATTTATTATCTCTGCGAAATACGAAGTTAACGCGCGACAGAGATATTTCTGATGAAAACGTTAAATTTCAGCCTAGAACGCATTTATTCAGGAATTGGCGAAAAACTCGTCTCCCGCGAGAGGCGGCTCTTCGCGACTCGGTGGATTCTCGCTCCTGAAACGAGCTCAAAAGGGCTGAGACGCGCGTACTCGCGCGTGGAACGTCGCGCGGCCGCGAGTCACGTCGGCGACACCTGGTAGAATCCTGAAAGGTCGGAATAGAAACGTGCACGAGTCAATCCCGGCCGCTGTCAGGCGGCGGACGCGCCGTCGGCTTCCGAGGCGCGCGTTCCCTGGAATAAAAACCGGACCCCGTTCCCCGGGCCAGAAACCGACGACGGCCGTGTCGCGGAACCCGGTAGCGGCCGTCGTCGAGGTGCATTCGGTGCCGACGATGCGCGCCGAGGAATTATATTCTCGCCCGACGCTGAGACGCGCGGGGAGATCTGAAAAATCGTCGCGCCCCGAGATTCCGCACGAGGGATTACATCGCAGTTGTGTCGTCCTGTACGTGTTAATCATATTTTTTTTAAATAGATAAATAAACTAGCCACATTTTTTTGTACAGTAAAATATTTCCTCGGAAAATCGGAAAAATAAACACGCCTGAAAATACATGCACTTTGATTAACTGGTCACCGTCACGTGCGCTAATGATGAATCGTAACGTGATTCGAGAATTCTTGTGGCAGAAGAAAAGAAAGACATGATTCAACAATAAAACTGTAGGACAGCAGACGTAGTCAGTAAATTAACGTGCGTTTATATTGTCACCACAATATCTGTATCTGCTTTGGGGAAAAAAAAAGACAGTTACCAACTCATTTTGGGGCCCACAATTAGCAATTGAATTGTTTGGATTGTTCGTAACTCTACTCTGGGAAAAATTTTGACAGTCTTTTTTAGTTAAGGGGATGCTGGAGTGA